CTAATTGTAGTCAGCAACATAACGTTGTCGTTACTGCGCATGCGATAAATCTCCAAGAATCTTGGAGATTTCATCGTATTTTACCAGGGTCTTCCTCAGCTCACGCGCCACCACGAGGAAGACCCTGGGGACGAGGTTGGAAAATTTTAACTCGCTCACGTCAGGCCACGCCATCCTGGCTAGTACAGCCGGAAGTTTTTATCAGGATTTGGTAGGTACAAAGTGCCGGTTGTACTAGCCAGGATGGCGTGATTGATGACGAATCGCTTGTAAAAACGCGGACAAATATATGCTCGAGTTACGCTTCTGGTATAACTTCCTATTCTGTGCCAGAGCCTCGCTTTCACGCGCGGCCACACGTATCCTGGGAAAGGTCTATTGGTGAAAGCGCGCGCGCGGGAGCGTTCGTGTTCAAAATAAGAGAGGGTAAAACCAGGTTAGCGTATGTTAATCTTACTCAAGGCTCGTTTAACGTAACGCCTCTGTGGATGAAAGTGTCAAGAAAGAGTATAAGAGAGTACGTAACACAAGGAAGAAAACTTTAAAGGGAAACGGCAATATAAATTTTTATTTTCTCATTTGAAAGAACTTTTGAAACTATATTTTAACTTCTTTTACCGATTTTCATATCTTGCTTAGTTCTTGAAATATTGTCATTTGAAGTAAGGAGATGACCGCCATCTTGGATAATTTTCTTATCTCATTAGTGGTAGTTTTGGTGACGTCACAACAGGGATTAACCATATAAAAGTATTCGTTGCTGACCAAATATTGATTGGTAGATGTTTTAAAGGTTTTGAGTGATCTTGATATTTCGAAGGGCAGACAGAGTGTAGTTTTGAGTGCAAAATGATCGGTGGTTGTCCAGATAAAAATATTGGGTGACTCCTGATATGCATATCTACAAAAATTGAACATGGCGGACATTTCATTCCCTTCGATCAAAATATTTGTAGAAGTAATGTCTCAATCAATTCCATGGTTGCCCATCCCCCCCCCGGGCGTTTGTCGGGCTTTTGTCATTTTGGAGAAAAAAAACGTTGCAAATGCCCCAGTATGGGGTCCAAATAATGCAACAAAATCCCCACCCTTGGGGACTTACATTGACGCAAATGCCCCACCCTTGGGGGACAAAATATAAGTTTTCTGAGGATTTCTGATCCAAAAAATCGAATCCAAGCTCTACTACGTATCAATATATCTGTATTTAAAGTCGATTCTGCAGCCATTTCGTTTTAAAACGTTTTTAATTAAAATATTGAAGTCTCAAAACTTTATATAGCAATATCAAACTGCAGAAGTAAGTCAATGTATCAACAGGATGGACAAGAAAAAAGTCTTATGTATGTCCGCCATGATTAATTTGCGATACGCACGCTCGTGTAAACATGCGTACTAAAGTACGGCTAAATGGCGAAACAAGCGATAAATATTCGACTTTTTAGCTTCGAGCAAATTCCCCACTCCGGGGCTAACCTGCAGAAAGCAAATGCCCGACCCTGGGAACAAGTACAGTTGAGAATGCCCGACAAACGCCCGGGGGGGATGGGCAACCATGGAATTGATTGAGACATAAGCATGGTATGAAAAAAAAACGGTAAAGAGTATTATATATAGTCTTAAAAGTTCTTTCAAATAAGAAAATAAAAAATAATTGCCATTTCCCTTTAAGTTCACCGTTCAAAGCCTGCAATGAGCTGAAGATGTCTTATTCTTCCTTTCTTTCTTTCCATTCTGACTCTTTTTGTGTATCTCCTCCCTGACACTGTCCTGTAGTTTGTTAAAGAAGCCAGATGAAGACGTCAGTGAACTATCTCGTCTCTTCTCGCCAACTATTGTACTTGTTTTATCTTTCTTAAGCGACTCCATTGCTTTGGCCTTGCTGTATTTGTTGCCCAAACCTACAACAATAAAACAAACTTTGTTAGTACAGGCTTGATTTAAAGCCCTAGTCAAATGAGGATCAAATTTGATGAGAGTTGAAAAGCGAGAGTTTGCATAGAGAGTTGGCAAGCGAGAGTTTGAATGGGAGTTGATGACAGTTGAGAAGCGAGAGTTTGCATTAGACTTGAGAAGCGAGAGTTTGCATAGAGAGTTTTCTCAACTCTCACGCCCCCGTCAAACGATCGAGAACAAGACTTGCATGAAAATTGGTAAGCGAGAGTTTGCACAAGAGTTTTCTCAACTCACAACCCAGTCAAACGAGAACAAAAGTTGCATGAGAGTTGACTGAATATTACCAGTAAAGCGAGCATAAACTGTTATCAACTCTCATGCATTAAAATTTTAACAAGCTCAAAGTTGATGAGAGTTAAGAAGCAAGAGGTTGCATAGAGAGTTTTCTCAACTCTCATGCCCCCGTCAAACGAGAACAAGAGTTCCATGACAGTTAATGAAAGTTGGCAAACGAGAGTTTGCATAAGAGTTTTCTCAGCTCACAGCCCGGTCAAACGAGAACAAGAGATGCATGAGAGTTGACTGGATATGACCAGTAAAACGAGCATAAACTTAAGCAATTCTCCTTAAAATCTGAACAAGCTCAAAAATGATGAGAGTTCATAAAAACTCTTCGAATTGACTTATTAGGCAGCCACAAATTAGAAATTTTATAATCTTGACCTGGATTCGTTCTTTCAATAGCTTTCTGTATTTTTTCTTTTTCTTTCGCAGCCAAACGCTGTCTCCGTTTCTTTACACGTCGTTCGCGATTTCTGTCTTGTTTCGTCATCTCTCCCTGGCTTTTCACTTCAACCCTCTGTTTATCGTAAACTTCTTCTGGAGCAAGCAATGCCGTCTCGCTAACGTTCACGGGTGTACATTCCTCTATGGTCACTGACGGAACGTTGGAGACAATGGTCACCTCAGATTTGAGCTATAATAAAAATATAATTAAAACATTTAAGGAGACTCCCTTGAAGTTCATTTAGTCAAATATTATACCTCAAATTCAAGTGTCCAATCAGAAAGCTAAGTTTGTGCCACGTGAGCATAAATTTATCATCGAATCGCGCCTTACAAAAATACAATTGTTTTTAAATTACCTTTAGATTTAACGACATTTTGTGTTTTTCGTAATGCTCAGTATTGAGGCAATGTTGTGCACCAGTTTCGCGATCAGATCTTGCCAAATAAGGATATTATGAGCCTTATACTACAGTTATGTGGTATAATGTTAAAACTGTAGCGCCAAGGAGAAATTCAGGGGAAAAGTTCTAACCAAAGGAAGAATGTTACCTGTACTGTGGGGTGTGACCTCAAAAATTCAATTATAAGTGCATCCATCTCAACAGTGCAATAGTGCATATATGTATAAACTATAGAATGATGTAACAAATGTTTTATGGCAAATGCATTTTTAACCAAAACACCTGAGTTTCAAAGTAGTGCCCATTTTTGCCATCTTCATTTATCTTAGGATCAGATCCCTGATGCATGCCATCTAAATTAGTTTTATGTTATATTCCTAAAAGTATTAAGATTCTCAGTGCACTGAAATTAATTTTTTCTGTTGACATATAGCATGACATCCAGTCTGACAACTTGCTATAGTGTCACACAATTACAGTGTCCGAGTGTTGATTTATACTTACCGGTTTGGGAGTAAAATGAAAGTTCGACAAAGAATCTAATTTGAAAAAGAGAGATTTCATCAACTTCTTAATTTGCGCGTGTTCTTCGTTTTCTTTTTCAACCTCAGGATTCTAGAAAAAAATTTTTTGGGAATAAAAAACATTACAGGACAAAAAATGTTAATGTTGTAACTCTTCAGCTAACCGTCTAAACAAAGTGAAATTGTCGGTAGCCGACTAATTTGAGCATGATCATTTCAATTATGGGTTCCACTTTTGCCAAAGCACTGTAGAAAATGGATGGAAAATTGACGCTAAGTCGGATCGAAGAATGCACGTTGTCTGAAGGATTCTCAGATAAACACAAAGAATCTGTATTAAGAGTATGTTATCGTACATTTCCTGAGATACGTGGCATACGCTAAGCATTTTTCGGCGTACAATCGTACGTCCTTAATTAACGCCTATTTTTAAACCCCTGCGTTATCCAAACACCGTGCACATTTAACATACATATCATTAGAAGCAGAGCAATCTACCTGCTGTTGAAGATATTCTTTTTCATAAATTTCACTCAGACTCATTTTGCTTTTCTCTTGATTGATGGGTTGAGCTTTCTTGTATTCATAAGGTTCTTTCACCGGCTTTTCTTTTCTCTCAACATCATCCCAAGCCTGGAACAGAAACACGAGATATTATCTCCTTCTTTGCATTTAAATTTGTGCATTGTGTGTATTTAAGCTATCCAGTATATATACATAAAGTTAGTTTAGTTTAGGTTTCCTACTGAAGTAACACTGGATCACTAAGAGATGACTGCATAGGCGTCGAAAGATCGATAAGTAGGGGGACCATATTCATATATTCGTGTTCTGCATTACTAATTTTTTTTTGAAATCGATTGTTTTTAAGGTCTGTGAACCCAGTATATGAATATGCCCCCCCCCCCCCCATACACTTATCGATCTTTCGACGCCTATGGGTGACTATTACTGGACCTCTAGGGAGAACAGTTTAGAACTGATAAAGCTACCCAGAATAAATAAAGTTACTCTAGATTAGGTTTCCTCTTATTTCACCGGACTAACAAGGAATGTTTGTCACTGGAATCTAAGGAAAACAGTTTAGAACTGATAGATTAGTAGTTTAGCTTAGGTTTCTTCCTGTAGTAACACTCACTGGAAATCCAAGGAATGTCTCTTACTGGACCTCTAGGGACTCTAGGGAGAACAGTTTAGAACTGATAGAGCTATCCAGTATAAATAAAGTTAGTTCAGTGTATAGGTTTCCTCCTGTAGTAACACTGAACCATCAGAGAACCATCCTTGTCATATATTTTCTTGTTTCAGAAAACGTACATACTCAATGAATAACTTACACCGTCTTTGATTCTCTGTATGATGATATCTTCAAGGGTTTTGCTTGTCTCTTCTGTGATCACTGGGGCTAAACAAATTAGGCAATATATCAATAACAGCCCATTTTCGTCAGTATAGTGATTGACCGATAATTTCCACAATGGGAAATTACCGATTACCAACAGACAACTTGCATGTTAGACTAATTTTTGATCTAGGCAAAAAAAAGTAAATTCCCGTAAAGAACTTATTAAAATTAGTAAAATTGGTTACGAAATGTTGTAAAATACAGAAAATATAGCCATGCGAAGTTTGCATATTTTCAGTATGTTTGTATTACGTGCGGAAATTGTTACCATTTTTGAGCTGAAAATGGTAACAATTTCCACACGTAATACAAATATACTGAAAATATGCAAACTTCGCAAGGCTATATTTTCTGTATTTTACAACATTTCGCAACCAAATTTTGCAATTTTACTAATTTCATTATTTTCATTTTAAATGTTGTGTTTTATTCCCTTCTCTTTACTTAGATTAAAATTTAGTCTAACATGCAAGTGGTCCATTGTTCCAAGTTACAATCGGCAACCTTTAAATGTATCTGGCGGATGAGAAACACGAAATAATAGTTAAATGCTGTCAGCCTGTCAATTTATCATCAATTCTATAAAATTGACGCCATATTTATACAGCAACGTAAGCAAAACTTACTGAACTTCAGACATCGTTTTCGCTTTGGCGTATACCATCTAAAATCTCTTCATTTTAGCATTATTTTACAGATGAAGCACAGAATATACTTTTTAAGTTTGTTTGTCGCTTGAGAAAAGTATCAAAAATTGTAAAACATTGAATATAATCATAACCAAGGAGAAATGCATGTGCATTTAGTTTTGAGCACGTGCTACGTAACGTACAAAGCAGGGTACGATCATTCAAATTTTTTGATCGTACCTGACTGCCAGTGTGACCAGATTTGATAATTTAAATTACTTTTGGTAATATTTCGCGATTTTTCTGACTTTTTTGGTAATTTAAAATTTTTGGTAATTTTTTTAGTTATTTCCCTTAAAGTTAGTAATATTTTGGTTATCTCATGAAATTCAACCAAATACACCATAATGACACAACATGTTATTCAAAAATTCTATGAGAACAGTTGCATGTCCATGCTTGCAAAGCTGTACATCCAAATTGCAAGCTTCTGGCCCAACTTGTCCAGCTGAATCGAGGGAATCCTGCTGATCACCACTCACCCTATGCTGATTGCGGGCTAGGGACCTGGGGCCCGGGCCAATTATCGTGGCGCCATATTTGCATTTTGCACAATTGCAACCAAAAAGTACAAGTGAGAAAGAAAAACATGGAAAAAACATAGTTTAAGTGATGGAAAGCGTTTTACTGATTTTGTTTTGCTGAGATGTTTTATTGATTTTCAGACCACTTTGGTTGACAGCAGAAATTTAGTAATTTTTTCTACGTTTTGGTAATTTTTTGCATGCTTATTTAGTAATTGCCTTGCAAAATATCTGGTCACACTGCTGACTGCTACTGCAATGATTATTGCCGCGTACTTGAGCTGGTACAAACTTAAGACTCAAGGTGTACTTAGTCTTTAGAATGAAGTACATAATGTTAAAGTTTCTGAGAGGGATTCCTTCAATAACATGAAACTAGTGTAGTGTTATAAATCAAGGAGCACAATTGTATACACAAACACCACACAACAACCACAAACAACACTCTAACATTACAAGATTTACAAGATTTTTACAAGAATACAAGATTTTTTATTATATACTTGAAATATAACTGTTACATCATTACTGCCCATAAATAGCAAAAGCTAGTCGAGATGGACAGTAGTTTACATTAAGCATCTTAAGAATCAAACAATAATCAAAGAATACTATATTTCATGTAGAAAGAGACTGGAATAGAGTATCGAAGTCGAAGCGTGTAAAACATTTATGCTTTACCGCATATATAGCTTTGATAAGTAGCCTAGACCGAAATCCGTAATATAATCGTAGTCCCATCTCATCATATATATCATTCCAATCGTGTTTAATGCCCAGTCATGCACATATTCCGACTAAGTTATGGTTTTGAATAACTTGGGTTTGGACTGATCAACTGGTACAAGCAAACATGAGTTAAGCACGCAGATCTGAAGAGTATCGAGTACCTACGTGGTACGTACAGTAGCTGATCGTAATATTGGCGTACCGGAGTAAGTACGCGAATTATCGCACCGATTCCAATTGTTCTACCGATAATGGAATAATCAGCCTAATGCCAATTATCGGTCAATCACTATTCCTCAGTGCTAGTTATTATATTAATTATCTCAACTACTAAGTTAAGCACATCTATATTTTAGTCCTATATCCAATAATCCAACAATAATATTACTTAATATATAATCTCCATGCATCAAGAGGTGGCCTTCCTTGTACAAGCCTGGTGGTTTCTGGAGGTCTCCTCGCCATCCGATACAATTAATCGTAGTTCCCTTTTGTACCTATTTTTCTATTTTTTTTTCTTCTTGTTTCTAATTGTATGTATATATGGCAAATAAATTATTATTATTATTATTATTATTATACTAGTGTATACTGCACAAATATACAGTCAGTAAATTCTAAACAACTTGTCCCAAATTTTCCAATGCTTGCATGACCAAATTATACAGATTTTAACATAACCTTTTAATCAATTTAACAGTGCTGTAAAAGTTACATAATTTTGTAACTAGTTAAGGTCGATTTACACTACACATCTTTGGCCTAAAACTGTTGCATGCAACCTGCTTACAACTTGAGTTGTACTGTGTAACTCAAACACACAACTCACTTACGAAAACGCAGCATCTAGCACTGCAACGGCAACATGGCATATTAATGAAAAACATTCGAATCCGTGCAGGGTGCAAAATTGAGCGACAACTGTGCCAGGGTTCATAGTTTCCAAGACCAAAAAAAATTCAAAACCTAACGGTTCATTTAGCTTTCAAGCTCTAAAAATGTTATTTAAAATATAAATTCTATCTATGTACCAATTATTTAAGTATTGTGTATTATTTATGTATTTCTATCTAAGAGTGAAATAAAGTTGTATTGTATTGTATTGTATTGTATTGTATTGAGCAATCAGCTGTCGAAACATTGCGAGTGTAAGCACCATTTTTACCCGGTAATTCGTCCCATCAAATCACATCCTATAAAATGCGCTTTTTTGTCAATCTTTGCAAAAACCTTGCTCTTCAATCAATCTATTTTTTAGCTAGGAAATCGTATTATCACACATTCACTAAATAATTTAATTAAAAGACTTTCTTCGCCCTTTCACACAATTCAAAGAATTTTCAAATACCAGGTACCTAGCTTAAAGACCAGCATTCAAATTTAAAGAATTTCAAGGATTTTAAAGACTACTACGAACCCTGTGTGTGTAAATGAAACTTGGGATAAAACAGCTTTTTAGTACTTGGAAATCATCAAAAGTAGGGGTGCACCGGATTTGGAATTCTCAAATCCGGCCGGAACCAGATTTACCGGATTTGGACAAAAATTCCGGCCGGATTTGAGATAAACCGGTAATGGGGACAATTGGGGATAAATTGAGATAATTCAGTATTCAAAATGGCGGTTTATGTTTTTTACTATTTTTTGTTAGTGTCAGTTTAGATTTTTGATTGTGTTTAAACCTTTTTTAAATATCTTTTTGTTAATAACTTAATATTTTATAATAATAATATAAGTGTTTCTTAAACTTTAAAGCTGCCGAATTGATGGTTTATCCCATTCTTGGTGAATTTTTAAAGGTGAAAACAGAAATTTAAATCCGGCCAGATTTTATCCAAATCCGGCAGGATGCCGGAAAATTCGTTAAATCCGGTGCACCCCTAACCAAAAGTAACAGCCATCCCGAGGCCAGAATCTAACTAGTTACCATTACTTTTTATCAATTTTTGTAACCAGTTAAGGTTAATGCACTAGTCAATTGAAACTACGGCCCCCCGACCCCCGCGGTATAGCGGGGAATTTAACAAATCACCTTGTTAATCCCGGCACATTTCCCCCGCTACAGGTGGAAAAGTATTTGTTAAATGCCCCGGTACCGGGGAACGTTTAATACAAACTTTAGTAAAATTATCAATAGACAATACAAATCAAGGGAGCACGCCGGGTTTGAATGACAAGCACATGGCAATCTCGTTCCCCGAGCATGCCCATTAGCAGGTTAAGGGTGGACATAGCTCTGGAGAAATCGAATTGATTCAGGCCTGTGATTGGCTGACGGCAGATAGTACGTTGGATTTCCAACGTGAGTTCTACGCATGCTTGGCAATTGCAGCAAAATATAAACAAAGTATTTGGAATTTCTCGTCGAAAATTTGATACATTTTACACTGAAATCGTTTGAAAACAACTAGAAATATGTACGAAATGGAGGAAATATGTACGAAAGCTTCGGATTGATAGGGATACAACTACCTGAAAAATACAAGGAGAACTTCGACGTTTCGAGCGAAGGCGCTTCGACTTGTGCTGTTAGTGTTTGTATACATCGTACTTGACCTTTTATATACTGTCATATCTAACATTACGTATACCATAAATTCTGACAGGAGAGTTAGTGTAAATTTCAAAGCATAAAAATATATAATACTTATTATTGAGGAGATTATATTTATCAGCAAAGGTCAAGTACGATGTATACAAACACTAACAGTACAAATCGAAGCGCCTTCGCTCGAAACGTCGAAGTTCTTCTTGTATTTTTCAGGTAGCTGTATCCCTATCCAAGCGAAGCTTTCGTACATATTTCCCCCAGAATTTTTAGTTGTTTTCAGTTCGATTTCAGTGTAAAATGTATCAAATTTTCGACGCGAAATTCTAAATACTTTATTTATATTTTGCAACATTGCCGAGCATAGAACGTAGAACTCACGTTGGAAATTCAACGTGAATCAATTCGATTTCTCCAGAGCTATGCCCACCCTTAACCTGCGAACGGGCATGCTCGGGGAACGAGATTGAGCACATGGTCGAATGACGAGCACATGGACGAGCAAGCGAACTCGTACCCAGGCCTCTACAGTCCTTTAGCCGAGCGTTAAATCCCCGCTATTTTCCCCCGGCAAATTATATTTTCGTTAAATACCCGGTATCCCCGGGAAATTGTAGCGTTAAACCACGGCCCTGACCGCGTTAATTCCCCGCTATGCCGCGGGGGTCGGGGGGCCGTAGTTTCAATTGACTAGTGCATAAAGTTACCTTCCCAAAAAAGTAACCAGTTACCGTTACTCAAAAATAATTACTTGTAATGAAGTTACTGACAGCACTGTAATTTTAAAAAAGCTTGGTACTAACCAGCTGCTGATGTATGATCAAACTGTAAAACTTCTTCTAAGAGACTGTTTGAAGGCCGAGCAAAGGCAGACGCCTCCCCTGTGAGCTGCCAAGACTTTGCCGCAACATTGCTGTCTTCCAATGCTGCAATTTGCTTCTTTACCTGGTAGTTAGAATATAAAAAGGAGGAAAAGCCCAAGGCAGGTTTTAGCAGGGTTGGGCGATATTTCAATATATCATATTTTCACTCATGATTATCAGTTGTACTGAAGGTAGAAATTGGAGCGATAATGTATCATAATTATCATAATTTGGTCGATGAATATTATGATCTTGCTTCATGTGCGTTCTTTATATTATTTTCTTGGAATTATAGTAATTATAGAATAATTAAAACTATTTGATGAACGTCCACCGCTTTGGCTATCGCAGCAGATACCTAAGGTTTATGAAATGAAGCAAGGTTTCTACCATTGAGTTGCAGCTCTCTCCCCATGACGAGTAAAATCGTCTGGCATTAGACAGAGTAAAATAATAAAGTACGGCACATCAGGGCACATTGCCACTTAAAGGGTTAACAGGTTGCATAAAAGATAGTGAGTCTGATTAATATGGTGCGTGCTGGCACTCTCCCCTTGACGAGTAAAATCATCTGGCATTAGACAGAGTAAAATAATAAGGTAGGACTAGAAGGGCTAAAGTACCTCCCACACCCTCCTTCACTAGGCTGGGGAGGGCACAATCTCCTCCCCCCCCAAAAAAAAAAAATCCATCCTTGACCAACCTTTTCTTGTTGTTTTTCTAATGTTGACTTTGGATCATCATCATTGTCACCATCGTTGTCATCCCCACTAATATTAAACTCATTAGCTGCAGTCTCCTCGTTATCACTACTATCCTCATCAGTCTCAATGTCATCCATATTGTCATCACAGTCTTTCCCATCATCCCTCATGGCTCCGCTCAGATCATCAGGAGCGTCAAAATAGTCTGAATACATTGCACCTTTAGGATCATTTCTAAAACCAAAGTAAAACACAAATACATGCAAAAAATTTCTAATTCAACTCATCAACCCATTGAGCACAAGTGTTCTCCCTGTTATAGGTTTTTCAGGCTCTCTCCATTTAAGTTACAGGTTTTTCAGGCTTTTTTCAGACAGTTTTTGGTTTTTACCCACAACCTACAGTTTTCATAAAAAAACCTGTTGACATGCAAACTAAGATGACACACACATGTTGACCAGAAGATATCATACACTTCAAATATGTTATGATTTATTTAAGTAACTACTGTAGATCTGTCTAGGGCCAAATAAAAATAATAGTTGCTTTCAGCATAGGCGTACGGGCACATTATTTTTGGGGGGGGGGCTGGGCTGAATTTGCCCGAATGACATGACGTCATAGATTTCGTGACGTCATAAAATTATATAATCTAAGAAGACTACAAATGAAATGCTTTCCTTTGAAGTCTTTGAAGATTGATATAAAAAGAAATATGTTGTCCCTAGCCATTTCAATTATAAGCTAAATATATGGCATTACGATTCACAAAGAAAGAGAAAGTTACTAACGTAACAACATTTTTTGGTATAAAATGGGTAATTGGACAAGTACTGGTGCAAGACATTGTGTAACCTAAATAATGAGAGGACCAGTATTCCAAAAATTGTTGTTCTTAATTTCTTAACTCCGACTCCTGTGATGAACATGTACGTGAAAACCTAGGGAAATTATGATTATATAGAAACTAAAATAGGTGGAAATTTTATGGGACACGGTAAAAGGCGAGGATAAGAAGCGAGAGATTAAAGTTGAGGAGGAAGGCAACCCTGTCCGCGTTTCGACCTAAAGATGGTGTAACATTTTCACTGTCCGTCACCGTATTCTGTTCACTATTTTCTCTGAGCTGTGACAGTGAATTTAATTCATCAACATCAATGAACGTTGTCATTAGTTCCGTTTGGTCTTCGCTCATGGGTTCCTTCACATTTTTCTCAGATAGATCTTCATCAAAAGACACCGTGACTGCAGAATCTTTACTACCACTCGATTCAGTTCCAAGTAGGGTTAGGTCATACTGCAGGTGACAGCAGGTCATTGTCCTTGGTTGTCATGTTACTTTTTACAAAGAAAGTATTGATTTTCGACAGGGATGAATCCGATGATTCCATCACTGGATGACATTTTACTTTTTTACCATTGTGAAATGTGAACCAATCGAGAATGCACCTTTTTATAATCACTGTCGATTTCCTTATTGCATTCCTCGCACCGAACGTCGTAAAATCAACAATTTTAGTAATGATTGTAAAAAAATCGCGCACTTTTATGTCTATCTAAAAGTCTAAAATTAGTCACATTAGGTCATTGTATAATGTATAGTATCTATTTTCAGTGACTGGTGTGTCATAGCCGTGGTGCCGCCCAGGGCCAGAGCCAAAGGATAAACATTACTGATCCAATTGTTACTACGCACACTTATACCACACCTTCGCAATATGTGGAGCTATATCTATATACTTATTTAGTTTAATAGTTGTATAGCCTACATTATGCTAGGTAAAACTGCTGAATGTAGGCATGAATACAGTAGTGACATTTTATTAGTAGCCATAGCAATTGTTCCTTCGTTCTAGCCGTTTCTGTGGGGATTTACGTCTGTGGTATGTGCGCAAAAATCAAAACCAAATCCGATTTTAGAGCACTTGACCTTTAATAAATGTTAACCTGACGCAACATGGTTGAATCCAGCTATGCGGTCTATGGTAGTAATAAATATACACAAACGTTGCCATTACAGATTTACAGTGCATGATTGAACCTGTAAAAGTTGAACTTGTTGAAATAATACTTCTGTTCCGCTTTATGGATCAATATATTCGTCTAACCACCAGATCGTCGTTGCCCGAATGACAAGACAATTTTTGCCCGAATATAGATAAATTCTCAAAAAATTGGGGGGGCTGCAGCCCTCACAGCCCCACCCTCCCGTACGCCTATGGCTTTCAGGTTTCCGAACGACCTGTCAAAAATATGACCGACCATAAACATTTTATTGACATTTCCCAGTAGAGGGATCATCTTTTCGTAAATTTCAGAATATACAAATAGTCATCAGACTCATTTGCTACAGATTATTTTGTTTGCTCATAATTTAATCATCTAGACATGTTAATCCTTGATGCGTTTGTTTCTCGCAAAACATGTGTAGCTCGCGGGTGATCCTGCGTGGCACTTCTGATTATGCGTGACAGTTACTCATAAACAACTTATATTTATTGCATACTTGAGATAAAATATTTTTTTAAATAAAATGCTTTTCCGACCTACCTACCCATATAAAACATGGCTGTGAAACCTGAAACCAACTATTATTTTTATTTGGCCTAGTCTAGATGTACAGTAATACATTTCTGTAACCTCCTAGTTTCTAAGTGTAAATCTCGCCAATATTGCTACAGGCATGTTTTTATTGGAAACCTAAATTTGCCTACAGTACCTGTTGCCAACCTGTTTTCACTTCAGGCATTCTGCTAATTTAGGGGCCTTGTTTAGTCATTCCCAGGCAAAAACCGCAGCACATTATCATACCTTTCAATATCTGCCGTGCCGTCACCTCTCTCATTAAGATCGGCAAAATAATCAAAATTTTCATCACTGTCATCTGCAGAAACATCGCCTCCACCATGTTTGCTTTCCAAAAACTTCTCCATTTCGGCCAGTTTGAAGAATTGGTCATCAACTACCGAACCCTTTGGTAATTTACAAGTACCCTTGGGTTTTAGTCTAGTACCTTTAATTGCTTTCGGTAATTCGTCACTATCATTACTATTTTGCTCAACAAACTTTTCAACCTCACTTCCCACATCAGAACTAGAATCAGTTGATCCTTGCACAAAATCTATTCTGTTCATATTAATTTCAGTAAAATTGTCCTGATATTTTCCATTATTAGTGTTTTTTATATCATTTAACTGTACAGAATCTGCTTTCCTAAGTAGCGGTTTAAATTCAGTCTGTATCTTCGGTAAAAGTGATTCATTCTGTAGCTGAATTTGCTGCCAAATTGTTTCATTATCAAAACTTGTTGGGTCAAGTTGTAAACTCTCAAAAGGACAGCCTTCTATCTTGCGTCCACAAATCGCCTCGTCTTTCTTGTTGTGGTTAAAAACGTCCCGTAGAACGGACAATATTGTAGCACTGTGTTTTCTATCGTAAGATATAAAACGCTCGAGATTTTCTTCAATATTTTGAAGGGAAATATTAACAGAGCTTAATGCACCGTCGTCCGCCATGTTTTAGAAACGTGCAGCTCTCGCGAGGAATCAGAAAAACACGCGAGAAACGCGTGTAACGTGCTGCCCACTGATCTCAAAATTGGATTGGATTGAGCAACGTGGTGAATCAGCCTTTCTCACGAAGGCCAAATTCGCCATTTTTGGGATACTTTTTTGAAAACGACATGAAAAATCTTATTGCGTACTTCTGTATCCCAGTGAATAACTTTCCGTTTAATGTTTTCTGTGGACCATTATTAGTTACTTTTAACCATATTTAAGGCCCTGTTAGGGTTTTAGGATTACGGATTATTTGGCATTTTTGGGCAGGATTATACGGATTTTAATATCGCAGGTTAAGATAAAAGATTATGGATTATTTGGATAGGATTTTAGGATTATTGACATGCAAAGATAATATATTTTTGCTATTGAAACTAAAAATAAGAGGTAGAATATGGTCATAAGATGCCTGTCAATATCAATATCTTCATTATACTGGAGACACCATTAAAAGGTGCTGAAAATTTTTAATTATTGACCATTTCGCATCACATTTGAGATGGAACACGCCAGTGGCGGACACTAGGGGCGACTAGGGGGGGGGGGCTGAGCCCCCTCCCTATAATTTTGAAAGACTGTAAAAATCTTGTACCAAATAACACAAATCACACTCAATAATTACTACTGAGGAAGAAAGGTCGTGTCTTAGAAAATCTTTGTGTGTTAACTTTGAGAATTTCGAAATTTAATTAAATTTCCAAATTCCCAAAGCTAACACACAAAGATTTTCTAAAACATTTATTCCAGTTTTCCATAATTCTCTTAACAAAATAGCTATTTTAAAATTTTTTAATTTTTTAATCCATTTTGTAAATAACTTATACTTGAGTCAAATAATAAATAATAATGAAACCAAATGAATCTATCTATCAATTCTATCGATCTATAGTGAATTTAATCAATATAATCCTGTATATATGCTCACGAGTATGCTCATGTATATACCAAAACACAGTATAGTCATATTAACTTCATTAGCGAGACGGTTCGTTAGAAAAAACTGGAATTGGCTTGGAAGTGGGAAGCATAGTATTGAAACTGCATACGATTTTCATATATAGGTATTGTACAAGGGTGAGTTGTAGCAAAGTAGTTGTAGTTCGCTACTGTAGCGAACTACAATTTTCAAGAAGCCAGTAGTTTTTGACTACTTTTTTAAAACAGTAGTTGTAGTTATAGCGAACTACATTTTGCCTAAAAAATAGCCAAGTAGTTGACTACTTTTCAAGCAGCGAATCGCTATTCGCTACTTTTTAAAATTGTTAGCAACCGTTCGTAGAATATAATGATATTAAGACACGGTTTACTTAAAAGATTATTTTATACAGTAAAGATTATTTTAGCGCATTGAAAAGTGGTACTCCTGAACACTGCATAGTGCTTAATACAAAAATGTTTCTTTGACCCTTTGTGTTTACTGTTGCTACTCGTAAGTCGATTTGTTATAGGTTAAATTACAGCCTGAGCTTAAATACCGTAAAATTAAAAAATATAGAGTAGCGAAATAGCGAAATAGTTCGCTACCTTTTTTAAGCAGCAGCTGTAGTCAGTAGCGAACTACTTTTGTTCAAAAGTAGCAGCAGTAGTTGTAGCTGACTACATATTTTTGAAGTATATAGCTGTAGTTATAGCGAACTACAAAAATTTTGTAGTCAACCCACCCTTGGTATTGTACGTCAATTCCGCCACCTTCACTTCACTTTTCCCATAGACCGAATGACTAAAATTCGTGCCCCAGGTATATATGGAGCACACTGGTGCAAACAGGCCATAACTTTTATACAATAGGGATTTTCCCCCCTGGGCTCCCGTTATGAATAACAGGACACGTTGCATTTACTTCCTTCACAAGTTTTTCAACAATTTCCACGTCACTCCATTCCATCCTGCGCTTGTCCCCCAGAATTTCAGAGCCTACCAGACTGTAGTGACGGTCCAGGACAACGAGACAAGTGAATTTCAAATTACCATTACACGTCTCCGGCGCTCTTGCATATTTGAAAAGAATAAGGTTATTGCTCAATGGAAGGTTGCGTTTGCCGGTACAGAACGCTAGATAGTGCCCCGCAGCTTTGTGCGACAAACAATAACTCGCCAGAATTAATTGAGCCGAATCAAGTGCCGACCCAGGTTCACCAGTATGAACGCTTGATTGAGGGGCTGCCAAGACAGATTGTATGTCGTAGGACCTGATAGTTGCGTTGGGTTGAAAGCGTTTGTTGTATTCATCGAGAGGTTTGGTGAAAATCTTGAGACTCCAGTCGTAGCGATCTCTCTCGAAGTGCCATGCGTAGTTGAGTATTGTCGTTACGGGGCAAATAAGGCCGTAAGCACTAATGATCCTGTAGACTTCCTCAAAGTTGCGTGCTTTGTATCTTCGCATTAAATATTCTCTACAGTTAGCAAACGTATCGCGATACATGTATATAGGGAAATGCAGCATGAAGTCAGCTAAAGCCGGTAGTCCAATGGAGATCTCCGCACTTTTCACACAATCTCTAGCAAACTCTGCGTGTAGCGTGCAATCAGTTCCTATCACTCTCAATCGTGTACCGTTGTACATGGAATTTTGCGTCACTGGAGTAGAAAATGCAGTGTCAGAATCCACCCACGCAATGACTGTGTCGTTCGTGTATAAATCATTAAAAAAGCTGCTCCAAATTTGACGATTGTAGCCAGTGTCACGTTTCGGCCAAGGAAGCTTCAACAGCGTTTCATAATTCATCGGAAGAAGCTCGTAGAGTATTTCAAGTTTGCGATCTGGGAAGAATTGATGAAACTGTCTCTCCAAAATGTTCGCTAGTTTGTGATCCAGAGACGATTCCTGATCGAAAACCAGGACTAGCTTTCCATACGAAGCGGGCCAAAACAAGACGGCTGTCCTCAAAAAGTCACAGTAAAATCGCTTTATGTGTAATCCAGTCATCCGCATAAAAAGCGTCACTGGTGTCTCAACTATATTAATTGTCGATTGCACAGAATCAAAACGTTGGTTCACCGTAGCAGCTATTGGCTTTATGTCGAAAGGCTTTACTTCTTCTTTCATCCACCAGAAATAACCCATGATCGAAATATGGATGGCGAGCAGGGCAAAGAACAGCAGACGTAACATTTCTTACCTCGCTGAGAAAATTCTTACTCCTGTGTATACTATACAGGAAAATTCGATAGTAAGTGTGCATTTGAAGCGAAAGTGTTTATGGCCTTGAACTTTAATTCTTCGATGCCAAACGAGTACGTTTTCCGGTAAATTTGACAGGAGAAAGTACATGCATCAAAAGAGCAAGCATGTAAAATCTTAGTGACAACGGGCTCTTGTTCGAAACGTCGAAATTCTTCTCATATTTTCAGGTATAGTTGCGTTTCTATACCAACAAAGCCTTTTATCGTATAATTACCGAAATTACTCATCGTTTCCGAAACTGGTTTATGATGAAACAGATTATTAACAGAAATATCACGCGAGCAAACAGATCACGGCGCTTTTGTTTTTTGGGGGTTTCGTACAATTAAAGGGACGAGTGAATTAAACAAGTCAAGTCTGAACTCTGCTGATCATACATTTACGTGGTGTTTTCACAAACCAAAACTAAAGACTGCTCTCCAGTACGCGTTTTTCATACGTGCGTTTTCGCACAGAAAAGATTAAATCTTTTTAAATGTAGGCTAGTTACTAGTTACTCTCTATAAAAGTGGCACTAGGAATAACCCGAGTAATTACCGACCTATATCTGTAATTCCAGTTGTCGCAAAAATCTTTGAAAAAATTGTGACTATGAATTCTATGATCAACTATATGAATATCTTAACAGCTATAATCTTTTGAACACTTCTCAATCTCATCATTCTCATGGCTTCTGATCGTTACATATTACCATAATTACTAGAAGCTACTAATAGCTGCTCTGTAAATATAGACAATGGTTAGTTAATGGAGTCGTCTTTATTGATTTAAAGAAGGCATTCGATACGATAGATTCATAGATAATAAACTGAATTAGTGTTGCGGATGTGGTACTTATTTGAGGGCGGCGGTTTGTGGGCGGCGCTCTTTATAGAATATTTATTTGTAAGCGATAATGAGGTTTTCAGTGTGATATGCGGAATTATCAAGGTCGAGATAAGCGTTATAACACTTACCGAGGTCTTGATAATTTTGCATATCGCAAAAACCGAATTCAATAAGTGTTTTATTATACATTTGTTTGTGTTAAATAGATATACCGGCTTGCTAATCATCGCAGGCTCATTTGCAGATAACTGAGTTATCTGCTAGCAGATAACTGAATTTTCTGTAGGTTGCGTGATTTCGCGATTTAACTGTAAGCTCTTAGCCAATCAAATTGCTTTTACCCACTACAATGTATAATAATTCTTGCCATTATACATTGTAGTTGGTAAAAGCAATTTGATTGGCTAAGAGCTTACAGTTAAATCGCGCAATCACCCAAACTACGGTTAGATGGAAAACACGGAGTCGGAGTCCCGGAGTCGGAGTCCCGGAGTCGGAGTCCCGGAGTCTGACGTCATAAAAATATGGAAAACACGGAGTCATATGGAAAACACGGAGTCTGACGTCAGAGAAAAATATGGAAAACAC